TGCAGGGCACTCAAAAACACCATATCAAAACTCGACCCCAATTATCCTCCTCCTCCTCCTCCTCCTCCGCTGCTATCGCAGACCTTCAATAGCTCAACATTAATGAGGGCTCATGTCGTGTCTGCCGTTGTGTCGCCCAAAGATCAGCGAAGATGACGATGTTGCCGGGCAGAGAGAAGGGACAGTGTAGGCCCTGTTAGTTAAATAGGAATGAGGTGATTGAAATATGGTAAAAGAGATTGGAAAAAATTAAGAGATTTCTGGATTGAAATTCATTTTTTCATGTATAATACCTTTGACCAAAGGTTGGTCTTTGATTTTATTGAATATGATTCAGTGGCGATTCTGACAGAAATTAAATTGCGTAACTAAGGATCAAGAATAACTAATTCTGAAGGGAAAGGAAATGCAAGTAGTGGAAACTAATAAATTGATAAATTGAAACTGAGAGAATACAGAAGTTTCTGTTGATGATCATGGATCTCTACAACAATTGAACACGGCTTAATATAGCCTACTACAGAGCGTAACTGTTTACAAGCAGTTAATGTTCAAATTGATGGTTATAACCCTGTCTCAACTTCAGACCCATGATCACACGTCGACTTTATCCACAAGCGATTTCAACCTCTCGGTTGCCATTAGACTTAACCACTAATCGGTATCTTTAACTTCCATTGGCATCTTCACTTTGTCTTCTTTCTTTAGTTTCTGTATTTCAACACTTAGCCAAATTTGTTACGTGGTAATCGTCAACAGATCGCTATTACATGTTCACAACTGTTTATCATAGTTATTGACAAGTGTTTCCGCTGCCGGTAACTTATCGATAATCGAATCGTACTTAACACCGAGCTCCATATTCATTTAAGTCAGCATCATGTGGATTAAAGGACTTGTCATCTTTTGGTGTCAACATTACGAGTTGAATATTTAGTATTTCAAATTACTCTATATAATAAAATTAGTTGAATGAACTTTAAAAATGAGATTTTCTCCATATTACATTGGCCAAATCAAACCCTATGTTAACATTCCACATGTAAAATTAACTTTTTTGTTTAACTTATCCTCATTCCTTTCACGAATACTTATCTTCCCCCATAGGATCGAGCACTTTTCAGTCCCAATTTTCATCTACATTCCGATTGATTCTAACCTACCAAACTGTGTAAAAAAAAAGGTAATAAGAACCTAATTTTACATTCCACTGTTTTCATTCCTAGCGTACACTTGTCCTCCTCTAAGCTGAGGGTCGCAAGAAAAGGAACCAAACCCAAATTTTCACCCAAATTTTCGATTAGAACACCAAGTTCTATTGATTTTTATGCCCCGACTGATCCTAGACTAATCATCAAAAAGTATTCACCATCCTCTCACATGATGATAGTGTATCTTGCAGCCATCGAGTTCATGTGAGTACTATGCAAAGGAAGAGGTGGGCATTTGCGACAACAAAACTGTAGTGGAATAGGATAAGGACTGTGACAATCCCCCCCAAGTACCTGGGCAATTTGCTGTGGATGGGACACGTTAAAAAGCCCTAAATTTGGACCGATTCTCCCGAAATATCCGGGTCACGGGTTCAAATCCTGAGGGACCCCATCGTGACCGCACACACCTCCCAACAACATGATGATCACACGCCCCGGTCTTCTTCCATCATATCTCAGTCTTCACGGGGTCAACGTCCCTCATCATCGCCATCATAGCGCACACACCCATTAATTAAAGTGTGCTTGATTAAATAACTGCAATTGCATGCCTTTGTAGACCTTTCATGGCCCATTGTCCACTTCCATGTTCAACCAGCCTTGAGAGCTAGTAATTGCAAATGTTTCCAATGGACAAAAATAAATTTCGAAGTAGCTAGAGATCCAAAAGCGAAAACAAAAAGCAAGTTTTTCTTACTATTTTGTGTATCTTCTTGAGAGGGACTAAAAGATAAACGTTCAACCTTTTTATTTTTTTTTCACAAATGATGGAGTAATCTACTATTCTATCGGAGTATTAGATTCTCAAGCTCTCTCCAATATTACCAATTATGTCTTCACAGGGATCCGAATCTATGACCATATTAAATATGACATAAGTTCACGTTGATTCTTAATCAACTGAACAGCCTAGCTATCAGCATAAACAAGGTTGGAGTCTATAATTTTGCCGATAGCATGTGTGATCTTTATTAGAACTATTATATTGGTAGGGAAATCTTTTATGAACCCGTTGGCACTCTTAAGAAAGTCACTTTGAAGTTATAGATCTCGAGCTAATAAGAAAGAAAATGAGAGTGTGGCGGACAGTTACTCATTGGAGAGTAACGATGTTGTCTCCACCACATAACTTTACAAGGAAATTACTCGATTTCCTTAGGAAATTATGAATCCCACTTGGTGTATTTGCCAGCCCACCGAGTGGATATCTTACATTTGAAAAGAAATAGTAAATCAGCCAAAATAAAAATAAGGAAGTAAAAGAGAAACTTATTAGCATCATAAATGTAAAATATTTTTATATTATGTGTAACATCCAAGACCTAATTAAATGAAGGAGTATAGCTTCAAACACTCGGCAATCTGGAGACTCGTGGAACATTTGTTAGCCACATGAATCGTATAAATCCATGTCTTTTGGCATGTACAAGTGGCTCTGACATAGAGCAGGTTGAAGGGACGTATTGAGAATCGAAACAGAACGATCACGCAGAAAACAGAGAAAATAGACAATGCACGAGTTTACCCAGGTTCACCATCGATTAGGGCTACGTCTTGCAAAGAGATTTCACTATGTTTTCGGTTTACAGCCACTCAACTCGCTACAATGATCAGAAAAACGAGCAAAATATATATATATATATATATATATATATATATATATATATATATACCCCAAACGGGCTCAAAACCTAAACCTATATGAAATCTCTTAATCTCACACCATACAGGCCAGCCCAAACCCGGCGGGGACGCCGCCCCGAACCCCCGCTCACGACCGGCAATGGCGGGCATCTGCACGTGCGCCGCCCCGAACCCCCGCATTCCGCACGCATGGGTCACATGTCGTCGGACAACACTTCAGTTTCCCTAAGCTCACGTGGGCGTACCCGATGTGAGAAACAAGGGTCCCCGAAGTATTCGCCAACTCCAACACAGGTTGAACATAATTAATGAAATTTTAAAATATGACTTTCACTTTCTAAGTGAGGAGTAATGGTGTCATTAGGTTAGCAATGTTTAAATAAGAATCGACTATGGCTTTGAATTGATATTAACTGGAGTAAATATTGATGAGAAAGTGCTAAGACCATCGAGACAAAGAGGAATCTCTTAAGTCGAGCCATAGTAATAAAGTAGAGTCATTGACTAAACAGAGTCATAACTGATTATAAGTAGTGACTAATTTATAGAAAATGTTGGGTGTCAACAAGGATGGATTAATATTATGTTGACTAGCACAATTGATGTATAATATAGATGACGATCAACTAATATCATTGATAGTGAGAAGCCAATAGAATTAAGTCGATAAGGCAGGAACAATTTTCGCCCATCGACTAATAGTCAAGTCAATGTCAGCTGGATAGACATCAATCGAGTTGAGAATTATTGACATGGACTCACTTAGTTTGGCTGATATCAAATTGACTGCAAGGATAAAAATAGCGGGAACAGTTATTGCAGTCAAATTGTCAAGCGAGAAAAATTACCAAATATATTATCCATTTCTATCAATTCTCTTACTTCATTGCAATTCATTTCTAGTAATTTCCAAGCAATTTATTTCCAGTCATTCTAGTTGTTTATTTCCTTGTCAATAACTCTTGCCTTCTTCTTTCACAAAAATTTTTGTTGTCAGTATTAAATTCATTTCATCAGTTTTAGAATTCAATCATCAGGTTTTTGTTCTTTTGTTGGTGCATAATTGTTTGTCATTTTGAAGTACAAGGAATGCGATGTTTGATAAGGACTGGTGGTCAATCGAAGTGCAATACTTCTTACTATTGAGTTGACGATCCGAATGGAGCGATTTTTGAGTAAATAGAACCCCACCATTCTAGAGAACATGTCTAGATATTGAAATGTCATATCATATGATACTTTCAGCAATTTGTTAAATTTCCTCCCTGCTGAGAGTGAATCTAATAAAATCTACAAAATTGATCATCTTTTCGGGACCAAACGAGTAGCTACCAAATAATCATATCGTACAGGACAACAAATATTTGACATTTACATGGAGAGCAAGAGATTATACTTAATCATAGTCTAGGTATGTTCTTGGTTAGCTTTGGCATAGCTACAGTGATCCTTGTCCGACTTACTAACTTGATTAGGGTCAACATGTTTCGGCGCTTTTAACATGGAGGCACATGTTGAGAAGTTACACCTACAGCTGCACCCGCAGATTTCACATTAATCACGGGAGATTAACCATTAATCACCCCTAAGAGGTACAAAGTGATTTATGAACAGCAATTAATCCCACCAACTAAGCTGGCACGATGATGATCATCTTTTAAAAAGACTTCAAATCAAAGTTTGCCAAAACCAAGCGTTAAGATGATGGTCTCGTAAATTTGAATTAAAAAAAACAAATTCGCGAAGTGATGGAAAAAGGGGAGTCTTGGATTAAAGTGGAAATGATGATGGGAACACAAAAAAGAATGGTGGCTGTGGCTGTGGCCCGTGGGGTTGAATTCGCCGACGTATACTTACATTACAATTTTCTTTCGATCAAATTAGATTTTTCAATTATTATTTCCTTGGTATTAACGTCTTTGTATGATAACATTTTTCTTCCCCGAAACATTATTAAACAAAGCATAAGCATTGACCTTGGGAGTGTTGGGACTCATATTGGCGTTGTGTGTCTTGGGTCTCTTTTGAAATTGTGCGAGTGCGAGGGAGAGAGGGGTGCCGAAGCTACAAAAACGGCGTCATGAGCCGTCGTTTGCTATATATAGCCCCTCTCTCTCTCCCTCTCTCTTTCTCAACGTTCTTGCAACTTTCAACATCTCTCTCTCTCTCTCTCTCTCTCTCTCTCTCTCTCTGTGCCTGAGCTCAAGTGCAAGTTTTAAATGGTAGCGTGAAGCAGACGTTTGGAATATCAGTCTCTCTCGGTGTGTTTTTTCTTGATCAAGAGATTCGGAAACTCACACAGAACAACGCGCAACGCAGCAGCAACAGCCGCAGCTCTCGTCATAATGGGCAAGAAAGAGCACAGAGACAACGCGAGAGTCGAAGCTGTTCTTCAACAGCTTCGGAAGCAAGCCCCACTCACTGTCAAACAGGTCTCTCTCTCTCCCTCTCTCACAGAAACGTCACTGTTTCGTGATTATGTTTCGTCTGCCTGTCTTGTTTGGGGTTTTCCGGGTGAATTCTAATGGGGGTTGTTGAACAACAGGAGAAGTTCTGCAACAACGCTTGCGTGGAAAGGTTCCTGAAGGCGAAAGGTGACAGTGTGAAGAAGGCGGTGAAGCACTTGAGAGCTTGTCTCTCCTGGAGAGATAGCATAGGCATTGGTACTTTCCATTATCGAAAATTTCTTCTACTTCTTTTGTTTTTTTTCCATTTTTTTTAATCTCGGAAAATAGGTTAGGTGGACTTATCTTTGTGCATCACATCATCCTAGCTTAGCTTCTTTACCTTTTGTTTTTGGTTGGTGTTGAACCGGAGTCCCTCTCTACTTTTCTTGAAACTTTGAATTGAGCGTTAAAGCGAGTTTAATCATTAAAGTCACAAGGCACCCTCTTCAAAAACCAACAAAAGAGCGAAGAGAATCTTGATGGGTTTTTCCCTTATGTTTTGAATTAGTGTCTTGATCCTAACTTATAGTACTCTTTTTTGTTTTTGGTTTTGGTGGTGTTTCATATGCAGAGCACTTGATAGCTGATGAGTTCTCAGCTGAACTTGCGGAAGGCGCTGCTTATGTGGCTGGCCACGATGAAGAATCTCGACCAGTCCTGGTAAAAAAAACAAACAAAACAATACAACCAAATGAATATATAATTACTCTCTTTCTCCGTATGTATGTGTATGATGTGTGTACGCAATACATTATTTTAAGTACATTTGAATTTGCTTCTGTTGTGGAAGAAGTAACCGAAACAACCCATCGTTGATTTTTTGCAGATTTTTCGGATCAAGCAGGATTACCAGAAGTTCCACTCTCAGAAACTGTGAGTAACCAAAAGAAGCTTTAGTCTCTCCCAGTCCTTTTTAACTTTGTGTTTTGTCGAGGATGTACTCAAAAGATGGAATGACCATACAAGTCCAGAGCTGCTTAGGGAAACAAAAGCAGACAATGAGTAATTTTTGCACTTTCAAAGTCACATCTCAAAATCTGTCAGCAACCATTTGTAGGAAATCAGTTTTTTTTCACTGTTTACAGAACCATAAATGGTCTATCTTCTGTAATTTCCATGGACTTTTGAGCTCACTTTTTTTTTCCCATTCTTGTTTTCGAATTTCCAGATTCACCCGACTGCTGGTGTTTACCCTAGAAGTCGCCATGGGAACCATGCCCAGGAACGTGGAGCAATTCGTCCTACTATTCGATGCAAGTAAGCTCACTTCACTTCACTTGACTTCACTCCACTTTCTTTTGTCTGTTTTTTTACTTTTGGGTACAAGGCCAAGCGAGCAATTAAGTTCCACTTTCACTTTCACTTTCAAAAACGTCACATTGTCACCCACTTAGCCTTCACATAATCCTAAATCCTTGAACACCTCCCCACAAAAGCATTTATAGCAACAAAAAAAGCAACACCACCCTTCTTTTTCGCACGCCATAAAAGCGAGCAGCAGCAGCAGGTATACATCCCCACAAGTCCACGAGACAAGAGCACACGAGCATGCACGTCCATGTCGGATCCAACGAACAGCAACACCAACACCAACACCAACCCCAAACCATAATTCCTGAAAAAATACGCTCTGCAACATCGCAAAACAGGCCTCGACACTGGTCGGGCATGAAAGGGTAAAGCGCTCGAGAGGGGCACTCTCGGGAAATGCGTTCTCCCATACGATTGCATCCTAGAATTAGTCAATGTCACAAGGAGTGTGACTTTCATTAAAGCTCACTGCGCTTCTGCGCAGAGAGTACTACCACCACCAGCAAGGGATTCTGCTTTTTCTTTATTTTTCGTCTCCTTTTTTATTTTTCTTTTTTTTTGCTTGCTCTGCCATTTCTCTGACCCGCATCTGATATGCTCAGAATGTTCATATATAAATATACCCTCAGGAAATCTTTTTTTAGGTGAACGTTTGATCTTAGGGAAATGTGGGGGTGGAATCGATTTCATTTTTGTAATTTCCGGGTTCATTTAATTAATTAATTAATTTATGTGGGTATTGATTATGTGATAATTTGAGCAATAAAAAGAGGGCAAAAAAATTAATGTTTATGTATATTTTTGCAGGCTTTTTCAGATCGGCATCGGCTTTCATGAACATGTTGCTGGCGTCGCTGAAAATAGTGGGGGAGTACTATCCTGGTCGACTTTACAGGGCCTTCGTGATCGACCCTCCTTCTCTCTTCTCTTATCTATGGAAGGTACAGAAAGCACAAAAAAAGAGAAAATATAAATTTAAAAAATCTCGTGTGTTTTTTCAATTTTTCAATTTTTTATTTGTTTTGCATGTGTTGTGCACGTCTTTTCAGTAGTACGTATTATTTTTTCTGTCCCTGCTTTGGCTGGAATCGGAAGAGAAATTTTTTTTTCAATAATGTAGCTGGACATCTGTGACAAAAAAACGTACGATGCTGTTGAACTTACCTGAACTTGCACTGTTTGACCGACCAACTTACTTTTTATCTTGTCGAACCAATAACTAACCCCCTGATTCACATTTTTTTTTCTTTTTCTTTGTTAGCTGTAAGACTTTGGTTCTGCATTCGATTTCAAATTCTCATGACCCGACTTTGAATTTATAAGCTGATTATTTGATTATAATTACCTCTAGCGAGTGTCAGAAATGAATAATTTTTCCTTACAATGACCCTGCTTTGAAAAGCAGTTGCATTTGTGATATTAAAATCTATGAAGGTGGTCCCGTGCAGTCAGACTCATCCTTGGTGATTTCTTACTTTAGTGCTTCCAATGTCTAGGTAAAGTTGACCGACTGCGAGAACTTGATCTTGGGTTTCAAATTATTGCAGGGAGTTCGCCCGTTTGTCGAGCTATCGGCTGCGACGATGGTGGTGTCGTCCTTGGACTTTGAGGAATCGCTGGACTTCCACGACTTCTCGGCCTATCCGCGTGCCTCGTCCCTCCGGTTCGACCCGGAGTCAATCAAGTCGGCGGACAAGGTTGGGCCGTGTTCGTCGTCCCGGTTCTCCTTCACCGTGTCCCATCACTTTGACTCGCTCAAGCCGTGGTACCTCTCGCTGACCGACTCGTCGGCATCCAAGGTCGGGCCCACGAGCCCGTCCCAGCTGGGCCCAGCCCTGATATCCCCGCTGAACGCGCGGTCCTTCTCCTTCGCATCGCCGGCCGCCAGGACGCCGCGCGGCGGCACCATCGGCTCGAGGAAGTCGCTCTTCCCGTCGACCCCGCTGCCCCAGAGGACGTGCGAACAGGTCAAGGTCGCACAGCCCCGGACCCCACGCCCCTCGTTCCTCCAGTCCCCGGCCATGTTCTTCCAACGCAAGGAGTGCCACGTCAGCCGGGCAGAGAAGTCGCGCGAGTCCTTCGTGCCCTTCCTCAAGTTCTACCGCAGGCCGTACGACGAGATGATCTACCGGTCGAAGATGAGGCCCCCGCTGGGCGGCCTGATCTCGATCGTCTCTCCCCACCTCAAGCGCCGCCACATGTCGGTATCGCAACGGTTCTGAGGCGAAAACCGAGCACCGAAAGGCAAAAAGGGCAAAAAAAAAGAGGCTAGCGAACGAAATTTCAAGAATTGGGAGTATATATGTTTTTTGACAATTTGAGTATCAATGTGAAGCTAGTAAAAATAATTGACTAAAGATTGTTCTTTGATTGATTCGAGTGTCCTCGTGCGTTTGATCGGGAAGACCGAGAAAGAACGGAAGAACGAGACGTCTTTAACGAGGGGAGAGAGACGACGTGTTGAACGGGATGTGAAATCGTGTGCACACAATTAAAACGGTGCCTCGTTTTTTTTTGGGGTCTTGGAGGTGGTCGGAGATGGGCGTGGGGAACCAGATAGCGTGGTCGGAACGGCGAAGAGCAACAATACGCCTTGGAAATCATATGCTCATTGTCATTGGTGGTGGCGAAGCCAAGGGAATCAAAGTCCAAGGCGTTGAAAAGTGAAAAATCTATGTCTACTCGATTATGTATATTTTAAATTTCTATAGACATGTTGCTTCTTTTTGTATTTTTCTTTTCCTTTTCCTTTCTTTTTCGACTTTCAGTTTCAACTTGTTGACGTGGGATTTTTGTTTATAATAAAGGGCGGGAAAAGAGGGTTAAGTTTGAATCTTTGCTAGTTGTAAGGTTGTGTGTGTGCGTATTAGGTGGAGTTTGGGTTGGGTTTGTTTTAAGGATGGTTGGTTTCAACGTTTGGCAGAGGAGGTGGTAGGAATTTGTGTCGCCTAGTGTCTTGTTTTGCTTTAAACAGATGTCAAACTTGAAGTCAAAATGGCGCAGAGAAGGGGGAACGTGAGGACTGTGCTTCGAAATTGGTGGAGCTGAACGTGGTGGGAAGATGATACCACGCGATTTTTGGTAGTAGAATATGCAAGGGGTCTTGAGTTTAGCTTTGGTTGCTCTAAGAGGTTGTTTGGTACCGATTTTCAGCAACAAATAGTTATGAAAATGGATGGTAATATGATAGACAAACACTTCGTAGCTGAAGCACATCCGCAGCTACAACATCTTACGGCAACTTTTGGGAAGTTGGCTCACTCAGTTTTGATGTGCCGAGACTTTAGTTATGTAAAAAGCATACAGGTTGCAATTCTTTACAGCGCAACTAGAGTACTTACGCACGACTACAGTTGAACCCTAACTACACCAAATGAGCTCTAGCTCGCTTGACTATGCTCAAATGCGATCCACCCGTCGTTTGTCATTACCGACACCGTCGAAATGTTGGTATTACAATCCGGGATATATTTTGCCAACATAGGTTATATGACTACTTGGCTAACTCAATATAACATTAGAAAATAATCAAGCAGAGAACAAGGGAAAGAGAGTGGAAGCCTAGAGTTAAGGTTACAGGATAGAAAAATATTCAGGTTGCACCACCAAATAAAGTTACAAATTTGAAACAAGTGTAGTTTTTGGTAACCAACGCATCATACCTTCATTTGCCAAAATTTCCATGACATAAGCATTAGACAAGTGTTTGCATTTACTTACATTTTTTTTCCCTTCGAAATTCCACTAAATTTAAGGATTCCTACGAAGGATGTCATGGTATTTATCCCTGTGGCGACGAAATTGTAACGCCCCGGTCCGCCACTGTTCACATATTGTCCGCTTTGAGCCCCACTGGACCCTCACGATTTTGTTCCTTTGGGCTTCGCCCAGATAACGGGTATGTACAGATAGAGAACCCCGAACCTTATAAACCATTTCAGGACTCCCCCTTGGCGATGTGGGACAAGAGAGGCTTCCCCCTTCTTTGTGCACGTCCGAGGACCAAGGCGCGGACGCACCGCCATCCCTCCTCCCTGTGCACTGTCGCTTGGGCCGTCACACTCTCCACCCCTTACAGGTACATCGCCCTTGTTGTGGCCTCACACACAGTCGAAAGTCGGCTCTGATATCACCTATAACGCTCTGGGTTCACCACTGTACACATATTGTTCACTTTGGGCCCCACTGGGCCCTCACGGTTTTGTTCCTCTGAACTTCGCCCAAAAAATGTGTATGTACAGATAGAGAATCCCGAATCTTATAAGCCAGTCCGGGACTCCCCCCTAGACGATGTGAGACAAAAGAAGCTCCCCCCTTTCCTATGCACGTCTGAGGATCAAGGCACGGACACACCACCATCCCTCCTTCCCGCGCACCACCTCTTGGGCCGTCACAGAAATTGTCCAAACTCAAATCATTTCTTTTTATGTGATTGAATCGAAGTAATCAGTAGTCCCATTGATTTTGCCAAACGTGATTGGTCGAGCCCAAAACACGTTAATTATAATAATTATGTCAGCAGTACGTCGTGGTTGCACAAAACAAGACAGTATTATATGACAGCACCATGCATGGTCACGGAACTAAACTATCATTTTTTTTTGCATGGAGTTGATGCGACGGGACTTCTGTCGGCTACTGGGTGTCGTGGAAGCATCAAGGCGTTGCGGGGGCCAGAGTCCCTTCTGAGAGACGTCCCTTAGTTTGGACTCGACTGGTTTGGCGTCTGCTCTTTGCATCTCCCAGTCCCCAATCCTGAGCTCTTGTTGGGGCTCGAATGGAGCTTCGATGGAGACAAACGCTGCGAGACTTACCCACTCCTTCTTTGCTCCCTCTCTCGCTCCCCGCGACTATTACAAACCGCGAAAAATAAGGGATAATGACACAAACAGTCTATGAACTTTAATCCAATGTGCAATGTGATCCCTGAACTTTTAATTTGTTCAATATAGTCCATGAACTTTAATTCAATGTGCAATGTGGTCTCTGAACTTTCAATCTATCCAATGTCGTTCCTGGACTTTTGATACAAGTTCAATGTGATCTCTGAACTGTATGAAAATGTTTAATATAGTCCCTAAACTTGAATTACTAGAAGGACTACATTGAATATTTTCATATAGTTTAAGGACTAAATTGAATATGTACCAAAAGTTCAGGGACGGTATTAAACAAATTTAAAGTTCAGGAACCCCATTGCACATTAGATTAAAGTTTAAGGATCAGCACATTGCACATTAGATTAAAGTTCAAAGATCACATTGCACATTAAATCAAAATTCATGGACTGTTTATGTTATTTTCTCCAAAAAAACAACTGTCTCTGTGCGTGTGTGGCCTTGGAGCTTCATTCCTTGTAGCGACGTGGGTTCGTTCTAATGGAGGTCATGCGTCGCTTTCGCTCTGTCTTCTTTTGGAGATTTTCAGTGCACGAGAGTGAGATTTGGCCCACATCTCGACCGCAGTCTCTCCCTCTGTGTCGCAAGCTTTCTGTGTAAGTGACATCAAGTGATGGGTCTATTCCATGTCCTTGGTTCAGTCAGAGAAAGCTGGGAGACTTATCTCATTCGTGATGCAATCCTTTTTTCTTCTGTTGCGATGCGGAAAAAGTTTTCACCAGAGTTTCTCGTTACGAACGGCAGCAGACTGCGAAATTCATATCGAGGTCTTTCACCAAAAAGAACAGAAATAATAAAAGAATCAAAAGAGTGGAAAGATGGGGTTTTCAATGATATATTGAAAATATTGAGAAACTTCTTGCCCATGTCTAGATTCGTAGACCTAGTTCGATCATAACCGTTGGATTTATGCAAGTCTCATTTGAAATTTACGCGATCAGATTTTGACACATATCTCCTATTGAGTGTTCGGATGAATGATATTTGTTCTATGATGAGCTCTCCAAAAAGATTATCGAGGGTAAGAACTAAAAACTGAAGCGGTTTTGATGTTATTATCAGCGGACGTTATTAATGTAAGACGATCGTCTTTATTTCACCTCGTGTTTCTAAACTCGAATGCGTAAACAACATTCACGTAGAATGATCTGTTTAAACCAAAAGACATTTCCACATGATGATAGGGGCTGTCAAGAGTCAACTAAACGTGCACGCAACCGACATTTATGAGGCTTTCAATCTAGGGCAATCCCAACACGGACCTTGAAAGATAGGCTACTAGTTTTTAGCAAGGGAGACGCCGAGGTAATCGCTTGCCTCTTACCCTCTCAATCCTATCGTTTAATTTTAAAAAAAATATCGTCCCTTTATTTTTACCAAAAAAAAGTGAAAGAGTTACTATATACTAACTTCCATGATACTTGTAACGAGATTCACATTTCGCGCAATCGGACTTGTTTGCTAACTAACATTTGGTGTTAGTCTTGCGTACTGTATCATGCACATGGACATCAGCTCACGACCACCAAACACATGAGTACAACGTTGCTTTGATGTATTAGAGGAAGATCCAAGACAGAGATGACCCAGAGATGACCCAGAGATGACTGAAGCCCATTGGGCTATTCCAGGACATTTGGAATGAGCTTCCATCTTCAGTTCCTTCATCCGGTTCAAATTCCGGTTTGTCGACACTGAAAATGAACAGCGTTCGGGTTCGAAAAGGGTCAACTTTCGAATGGCATTACTAAATTCTAAGTCACATCGCCATGACACATTTCGCGATGACTTCGCAAGCGCGGATTTATAAAGAGAAAAAAAGATTCGTTCTGCAGCTGCAACTCATATATCTTTCAATGCCGCCACGGCTTCCCATTTAGAAGCTAAACATCTCGACACTTTCTATGTTTGCCTAACCCTTCAGCTTCACCATATGTTGTACCTAGCGGATGCGAGTTTTGACAAGATACAAGAACGTGATTCATTCTTTTACCGACAAATGGCAATACAGTATAATCATAGACCGAGAAATCCTGAAACTCCAATAGCCTCCGACACCATACAAGTAGGCTCGGCTCAGCGTCTCGGCCATCTGACTGGCCAGTCATGGTCATTGGAAAAGGGCTGGATTTTGGTGAACATGAGCAAATGGCTCCCCTTTGTATATGCTTTCCACCATATAAACTAACAGCTCAAGTCTCCATGAATCTTACATCACAAGTTTTGCTTGAAAAATAGTTCTCTTTCAGCATCAATTCATATAACGATCCGAGAAAACAGTTGTGCAGCTTCATGTCGGACATTCATGTAAACATAGATACTTTATAACCAATAGCAGGGTTTCTCTTGAGAAGGTTAGTGTACATTAACAAAGTTCCCCTGCATGTTTATTTATTACCACATTGCTACGTTCACTGATTGATGTACCATCTATCTCACTCAACAGAACACAAACTCGACTCATTTCATGACATATTCTGCTCAATAACTGGTTATTTGAAAACTTCATAAGATGCACAGACAGATGAATACAGAATACATATCTTCAGATCTTTTTCTGCAGGGTCACCAGGTCCAAAGTAGACCCATAATTTCTGTTCAGAGCTTCGGCGCACCATCCATGGCCATCATCAACCGTCGGCATCCTCACTTCCACGAGTGGGACAGCGGGATGCTGGGCCCCAGGCAGTGCCACTCCCGCCAGAACTCTCAAGACATTCGATGCATCGATGTCCATGCACACATTTATCTCCAGAACTCCCTTAGGAGCAGGAGGAATCCCGACGATTTTGAAATAGCCGAGCAGATGATTCTCTTCCACTTTCTGCCCTTCACCTTCGTAAACTATTATTAGCGCTTCGGTTTGGTTATCGTGGACAGTCGTGAAGGCCAGCTCCTTTCGCGCAGGCATAGTCGTGTTTCTTGGAATTATGGGTATGAAATGGTCTCCCTCGACTCGTATCCCAATGCCAAGAGGCGTAGCTTGAATCGTTAAAAGATCCAAACTGCCAAAAGGATCACTTATCCCAGAAGCAACTGCCCCTTCTAGTGCCGCGCCGACAACTGCAGCTTCCAACAAGTTCATTCCCTTGTAGATTTCTTCTTTCCTACATATTCCCATGACAAGATTCTGTATTTTTGAAATATATGAACAACCACCCACGAGTATTACATCAGCCAGATCCTCTACTTCGACTTTTGCATCATGCAAACACTGCTTTACGAGGCTCTCGCATTTCACAAACACGTTCCTGTTGACCTCCTCAAATTCTGCCCTGTCTATGACCTTGCATACTTTTATTCCATTCCCCAGATCAACATCGACTTGCACACTTGTTTGAGAGGAGAGTCTGTGGATTGCATCCTGGGTTGCAATTCGCAGGATCCCCATCGATTTGATCTCATTGACACCGTGACTAGAGAAAAGATTTTCAGCATTTGGCAATAGATGGCGCATTGTATTCTGAAGTATGTCCTCTCCTCCGATGGTGCTTCCTGATAAGGCTTTTATCTGTGAAACCCCTCCTGCTGTAGCAGTCACCGCCAAATCACAATAGCCAGCACCCATGTTGAATATCAGCGCAAGTTTCTCACTTCCACTGCCCATATTATCTTGCACAGTCTGTTGCTGTTGCTGTTGCTGTGCATATAACAAGGCCACAGCTGTAGGTTCCGGCATCAACCTAAGAACATGAAGACCGGCCATGGCACACGCTCGCTCGATCCGGGTCAGTTGGAATCGACTGAATGAAACTGGAATCGTCAAGACAACATTTCTTATTGGCCTCTTCAGCTGAAGTTCAGCCATTGCTCTCAACTCAACCAAAAATATGGCAAGAACCTCCTCAGGGGTTGTAGACCTCCAGACGTTGTTCACCAACGCAGCGATGAATGGGCGAACACCAATGTCCAGAGTTTGTACCAGAAATGGAAGGCTTTTGCTCGCATGAACAACAGGGTCAGTATCGACCCGCCCTATCAGGCGTTTCATGTTGAAGATAGCAGCACCAGACAGGATCTCGTGCTCGTGAGAGAGTTGGCTGCTCACTCCACCTGAAGGAATTTCATCCTTGAACATGACGTATGACCTCATCAACTTCTGATTTCTGGTGTTCTTAAGGAGCTCCACCTGGGACCCATTCCAAACAGCAACACTGCACTGCGAGGTTCCAATGTCAACTCCAATTGCAATTTCAGGAAAAGCCGATGAAGTCTTCTCTTCTCCAGTGTTTTCGCTGTCGGAAGCCACTGTATATGCAGGTTCTGCCATGCCTGTATATCACATAGGAAAGAATGGTAGTGGAGCACTCTACCATCAGTAGAGCAACGGAGGAATCGGTAACGGACAGTTACCAATGCAGAATTACATCTCCAGAGACCAAAAGCACAAGATAAAGGCACGAAAGAAACATGACTTAATCCGGTCCACTCTTATCACATTAATCAATTTCATTAATACCGTGTTTTAACCTTGAATGCTCTTGTTGATCGGTCAAACGGAGATAACTCACTGTGAAGGAGTATTTATCCATATGTAAGAATTATATATCAGCTGAATGAAACTTGGTTAACATCTGACAAACACATTTTTCTGAATAAAGAGTTGCAAAATAGGCACAGAAAGAATTACACTTGTTCCGTAAAGCAAGTCACCAGGTAAAATTAAGCAAAGATGAAACAACAGAGTCAAAAGCCAAATTTTGGATTTCCTCGGTTGTTAATCAACCGTACTTCTTTCAGCCATTTCCTTTGCCTTTCGGTTTTCCATGTCACAAAATCAGTATTTCACCACATGAGCAATAATTACGCAGCTACGCACAAGAGTTCAAGTGTTCCTAGTTAAAGTGCCATGAGCTCAACCTTTATAACTAACATCTGGAATGACAGTTATATCAAAGCAAAACCAAAGCTTTCAGTCTTTACATGAAAACACAAAAAGAAGGGAAAACCCACAAAAAGAGAAGCTTCAGTCTTTAGAACAAATAGTGATCAAACCAAATGAAAACTTCATGTTTTACTCTTCCCAAGAGGGAAAAATCACTCGGACGACATCTAAAATCAATGTATAAGCACTCCGGCGCACTCACGCGTCTTAACAGCCCAACATCATCCCCCGAACTGCAGGACCATTCGAAAAGACATACGCACAGGCTTCGTCACAAACACCTTCAGGGCACATGAAGAATGACAAGCAGCACACCATATCACCAAGACCAACAGCACGTAAACAATCAACGCTGGCCAATTTCACACAGTTCAGCTCAAGCCGGCCCGATTTCATCACAAACACCACAAGACCGATAGCATTCGCCACTATTCCACGACAGAAGCAGTGCCGGAAGCCGAGAAGATCATAACAAGTCAAGATTTTTGCAAGAAATTCCATTCACTGATCAGGAGAAACCGGAGATGGGTCACATGGGTATCGCGAAAAACAAAGTGGGTCGGGGAGACTGATGAACGAGCTTACTTGCGCGAGACTTGTAGAGCGCTTTCCAGTTGCTGGGTGGGGAACGCGCGAGAGCTTGCAGGTTGGCCTTTGCGCGCCGTGCTGCTCGAACTAAGGAAAAAGAGAACGCTGGAATTTGAAGAAGAAGGAGCGAATACGGAAAGGTGGCGTCAGGTTCTAGAGCTTCCGAGACGAGGAACGAGACCACGAGGCGATCCTCGAAGGTTTCTCGCGATTTCGTTTTTTTTTTTTTTGCATGTTTCTTTTTCTCCATCTTTTTCGAAATTTCGTTTATTTAATCTGCAATTTAGTTTGCTTACTCAAGAAAGAAAATAGCGAGCTTTCATGTGACCATCAAATTACTAAATTCAAATTTGAGCTCGGGATTTCATGACGTGGTCTTTTTCGACAAGCACAAAGCTGAATTCAATTCCAGGACATTCTTACGGAATTATTTTCTCTCTACCTAAACTTGAGTGCGATACAATTAAGAAATAATCAAAGTTGACTCGAGATTTTTGAGATGCAAGATCCTAGCGGCTTTAAACGGTCGGATTTTAAGGCCGAATAAAAGGGGAGATTAATTGTCGATTATTAAGCATATAACAAGTTATTTACGATTTCACTTCAAATGTAAAAGTGAGAAAAGTTACGGGAAAATTATATACGATTCCATGTGTCCTTACTTCGTTAATTTGCCAAAAGCAAGAAAATCATGGTACTTCTCTTGCGCATTTTGAGCCCGACTTTAAGAAATCAGTAGCTTTTTAAGTCGTATATTGGGATTCATCTACTAATTTTTGAAGTTTTGAATCCTCAATTTTTTTTTTATAATTATTTTTATTCAATGGGCTCATAGATTAAAAGCTCCTTGGTGGATCGAATGGGATTGGGCGGGCTTGACGAAATTATAACAAGTTCGACGGTCAGGCCTAAGCTAAGCTGAGCCAAACATCTTACTTAAAGCCTTTAGCCAGCCCACATAATTGAAAAATCATCACATTTTTATCTACCCATAACACAATAAATAATGGTCTCACAAAATTGACCATATTATCATTTGCGCGCTCATTTTTCGTGCCTTCCTGATTGTTCAACTTAGAGATATAATTTCGCGAAAGGCGTCGATATTAGCACGCGCAGGACTTCTTATTTCATTTATGGAACTAATCGGACTTGGACATGTCAATGTTGAATTGGGCGGGACGGGTTCAAGAAGGGAATCGCTTTTTTGTCTAGGTCATGAATCTCTTAAAATGCCCAATTAAGCTCGGCCCTATTAGCAAATCGTCAAAAGGTTTAGAATTAAATTAAAACAATTGAAAGATTTAAAACTGAATTGGCCGCCGTACAATAAATTTATAACTTTTTTGTTATTTTCTCAAAAATGGAGTTATCCGCAAAGAGCAGACAAAATCGCACTCTCTGATTTCTATTCATCAAGTTATTCAAGACAAATATATAGCGTGATTTACCAATATTTTGATTTATAATCACTAGTCTTATACGGTGATTGCCTTTTATGGGGATAAGAACACTAGGGCTGCGCATGACAACTATTCTGTGCCCGGGAACAGATTCTGATCAGAAATGATTCTTTTTTATTCTGTGCCCGGGAACTGATTCTGAGCATTTGAAGGCGTTTGGTAACGGCCCAAAATTCTGTGCCCGGGAACAGAAATGCGTTTGGTAACGGCATAAAATTTCTTTTTATTAATAATATTTTAATAACATTTTAAATATTTTAATATTTCTTTCTTTTCTTTTTGTCTTCTCCTCCTTCTTGGCCATGGCTGGTAAAATATTTTTTAATTAATAATACTTTTATTAAAAATAATTTTTATATTTTTTTGGCCATGGCAGGTAAAAAAATTTTATAAATAATTTTTTTATTAATAATTTTTTTTAAAAATTATTTTACAAAAAAAAATATTTTTTTTCTTTTTTTTCGACATGGCCCGGTGGCTGGTCATGGCCGGTAAAATATTTTTTTATAAATATTTTTTTATTAATAATATTTTAATAAAAAAAATTTTATTGAAATTATTTTTTTTATTTTTTTTTGCCATGGCCTGGTCGCTGGCCATGGCCGGTAAAATATTTTTTTATAAATAATTGTTTATTAAAAAAAAATTTATAAAAAATATTTTATATTGAAAATATTTTTTTTTATTTTTTTCGCCATGGCCTGGTCACTGGCCATGGCCGGTAAAATTTTTTTTATTAATAATATATTTTTTTATTTTTTTTCGGCATGGCCGGTAAATTTTTTTTTTTATTAATAATATTTTTTATATTTTTTTCGCCATGGCAGGTAAATTTTTTTTATTAATAATATTTTTTTATTAAAATATTTTAATCTCGCCAGATACGGCGAGGGTGGCCTCACGCCGGACATTAGAAGCTACATTAAAAATCAAGAAAAAGAAGAAGAAAAAAAAATTGATTCTCATTTTTGTTCCCAGAATCAAGAAGCTACTTTTTTTTATTCTTGATTCTCGCTCCAAAGCGATTACGGGCACAAATTTGCAAGAATTTGTGCCCGTAATCAAAAAATTAAACAAACGGATTTACTTCCCAAACCGATTCTGGAACAAAAGAACAGAATCAAACACTATTTGGCAAGTTATCATGCGCAGCCTAGGAGTGCCATAACTTTCATATGGCGCTCACTTGAGGGCTATAACTTTTTTTTCGTTCACTTGAGTGTCACAAATTTGAAAAATTGATCATTTGAGTGCCATCGGAGATTTGCCTCGCCGAAAAATCCGACGTGGACGCCGATTGTCTTACATGGCTTCGCAGGAGCTGACATGGATCATTTTTTAATAATTTTTTGAGTTTTTTTATTTTTGCAATTTTTTTTTCAATGCTAGCGAGGGTCACTGGTGACCATCGCCAGCTGTGAAGGCCTCACCTAGATTGGGAGAGGGCCACCTGCCCTTGGTCGTGAAGGCCTTGGACGAGGCCGTTGCGGCCTCGCTGGCGGCAGGCGAGGCCACAAAGGCCGTTACCAGATCTGGGCGACCGCGGGCAAGGCGGCCTTGCCAGATCTGGCGAGAGCTTTCACAGCCGTGGGTGAGGCGGCCTTGCCAGATCTGGAGAGAGCCTTCGCCGCCTCACCCACGACCGGCGCGGCCGCGATGGCCTCACCAAGGGCTTTTGCGGCTGCGGGCGAGGCAGTGAGGCCTTCATCGCCTCGCTCGCAGCCGGCGAGGCCGCGATGGCCTCGCTAAGGGCTTTCACAACCGTGAGTGAGGCAGCCTCGCCAGATCTGTTGAGAGCCTTCGCCGCCTCGTTCGCGACCGGCGAGGCCGCAATAGCCTCGCTAAGGGCCTTCGTGGCCATACCGACCGATGGCGAGGAAGCCTCGCCAGATCTGGTGAGAGCCTTTGCCGCCTCGTTCGCGGCCGGTGAGGCCGCGATGACCTCGCCAAGGGCCTTCGTGGCCATACCGGCCGATGGCTAGGTGGCCCTTGTCCAGTTTGGCTGAGGGCAATGCCTCCGGCGAGGGTCACCGACGACCCTTGCCAACCTTAAAAAAAAGAAAGAAAGAAAAAGAAAAATTCAAAAAAAATCAATAAAATCAAAAAAATAAAATAAAATAACATTAAAAAAAAATCCACGTCGTATGGAAAATTAATTAAAAAATCAACGTAGGATGATTTGTCGGAAATGACACTCAAATGATCGATTTTACTCTGATGTGGCACTCAAGTAAGCGAAAAAAAAGTTATGGCACTCAAGTGAGTGCCGTATGAAAGTTATGGTACTCTTAGTGTCCTTATCTCCCTTTTATGAGATGTGAGTGACAACTCAAAACGAGAAATATTCTACTCATCTTATAGCGACTTGCCACATGATATCACAACATTTTCAAACGCGAGGCTACTAATTCAACGTGGATAGAATTTCTCGAATGATGAATACCAAAGTAGGTTAGATCGTCACGTTATCGGCTTGATAAGTTAGTATCTCGATGTTAAAGTTGACTTATCATCATACATATCAACAAAATTATTGTCATCGGAGGACCTACGAGTTATGAATAAGAAATGGCTTCTTCCCCACCTTATAAATCGACAAGAAAATGTTTTCATCAAACTTTGGATGTCGCTGTAGCCACGTCAATTATCGACAAGGACACGGACCCAACATAAGCATCACCAAAAAATCCTTTGACCCAATGAAAAACGCTGGGGACAAATGTTAGCAACAGACGCGAAAAAAACAAATACAGAACATAGGGATTTACGTGGTTCGATCACAAGGTGATCTACGTCCACAGGCGACGCAAGACAAGATTTCACTATAATCAAAGAGAGTACAGTTTTCAGAAGTCGAAACAACGACAAAAGCTCACGGCTCACAAAACTCTCTAAAAATAAAATTCTCTCTGTACGTCAATGAGAAAACCTAGCCGCGGTATAAATAGTGCTCCTCAAACCCTCCGCGTCACGAACTAAATCTCAATTTTTTCTCCACTTTCGGGTCGCACAAAAATATGTCGGGTCATGTGATAAATCGAACCGAGTACATAAAATTCAAGACATATTTTACAACAAAATGACTCCATTGGTCCCTTCACACTCCTTGTCCAAAGTCCCTATCCGTATCCATATAATAATTAGGTTTATGCCGCCGATAATTAGGACATTCGCCATATTTCCTTGATTCTCTATTTCTCTCATGATTATGCACCTTTATATATCTCTTAAGGGAAAATTTAAAAAAAAAATGGGTTGAAGTAACCGGAATAAACTTTATTTCAAATAAGGATCAGAAGTGATCAAATCAGTCTCAAATAAAGGTCTGACCTTGCCGGCCGGCCACATTTTCCAATGACTAGAATGGGGGCAATTTCATCTGAAATTTACAATTGGATAACAAATACAGAACAGAAGTTTCCTTTGATTGAATTGGGATTAAGTTCATCTTTTTCAATTCTCATGTTTTCTGGTTATTCATTTCCAATTCTGAAGTTTTCTTCTTCCTCCCCAGTGGATTTTGTCCTCCTCATCACCATCCCCATCTTTACTCTCCTCGCGCTCTCTCTTCCGTGAGGTAAATCGTTCAGACCAAAAACAGAGAAGAGCGAACGTGTGCAAGTGTTCTTGAGGAAGAGCAAGTATGCCGATAGCTAAGACGTGTCGGGCCTCTAATTAACCGTAATTAATGTTGTAATCTTATTATCTTAGATAGTTATTTTGTAAAATATAATTTCTGAGAACACAGAAATTATACAATTTAGGTAAATCACATATAGTAACTGTCCTAAATCTACTATATCTTTTGTTTCATTTCTTTTGGATTAATCACAAACATTTCTTTATGTGGATCTACCGCCATAAATTCAATGTGTAATCTTAACATTCAACGTGTAGATTCAGTCCAATTTTAGATTCCCGCGGTTACCAGTTCCAAAAAAATTGGAACTAGTACCGTGCAGTTCAATTTCCAATTCTTAGGTAAGAACCGAGCCTAGAACCTATGAACCAGACCTAATGTTGTGCACGATTGTTTTTTTTTTTGCCAATAAAGTGAAACTCTGAAGTAAAATTGATATCCCAAATGACCTATATTCTCCATAAATAGACTACCAAAGGTATTGATCTAAAGTGGCAGACCTAACGTTGTGCGCGATTGCTTTTTTTGCCAAAGAAAGTGAAACTCTGAAGCAAGATTGATGTCCCAGACGACCGAAATTCTCCATAGATAGACTACCAAAGGTATTGTTTTGAAGTTGCCAAATGCTTGCTTTAGTAGACTTGACGTTGCGCATGATCTTAAAAAAGTGAAACTTTGAAGGAAGATTGATGTCCCAAACGACTGAAAATTAACTCCATAGATAGACTACCAAAGATATTGCTTTGGAGTTGCCAAATGCTTGCTTTGGCGGACCTTAGGTTGTGCATGACTGCTTTTGTGCCAAGAAACGGGAATTCTGAAGCAAGATTGATGTCCCCGACAACTGAAATTCCCCATAGATAGACTACCAAATGTATTGTTGAAGTTGCCAAATGCTTACTGTAACATCCCAAATTTTGTATTACCATAATAAGAATTGCTATTGGAAATGATCAAAGGTTTGTTAGACAATTGATGAAATACTTCCAAGACGTCAATAATTACGTATTTGACACATTATGATCCAAAAAAATCATTGGGGTGCATTGGATAATTTAAGGGACTAATATGTGGCCATATGCATAAGTATAGGGATAAATTAAGGTACAAATTATTGGACACCAGGCAAGATCCTAAGTGGACATTAGGTGCACTTAAATTGGACACTTGGGACACAAAAAATAATGTCCAAACTACCCTTGCATGGCCGGCCACCTATTCCCCCAAAATTTGAATTATTTCATTGATTTAAGCCAATTAATCATTGCATGCCACCCATTCCACCCAATGAGATTGCATGCAAAAGAGAAGAAGAGTGTTTAACACTCAAATGGGGCAAATGATGGGGAATTAAACCATTTTCTCTTCCTTTTCCCCTCCCCATCGGCCAGACCTCTCCCCCCTCACAAACTCTCATTTTCATTCTCTCATTTTCTCTAAAACTTGCTCACTTGCTCACCATCTCTCTCTCGCCGGTTCCCTTCTTCACCGCCGTACCACAGCCGCCATCACCGCCAAACCGCCTTCATTCCAGCCTGGTTTCTTTGTGTTTGGGCGTGATCGACATCCTAGGGAAGGTGTTACCGGTGTTAGACAACCCAAGGCCAGGAGATCATGCTTGTTTATAAGCCTATTCATCTCTCATTGCCCTTGGTTTTACTTGTTTGTGGCCGTGGGTGATTTGTTTAGCTTTGCATGTACGTTTTGTGATGTCAAATGGGTGTGCATGTTGCTGTCTAGGTAAGGATTGTGTGTGCATGTGAGTATACAAGCTTCTACTTAGCTTGCATGTTGGAGTTCAAGCCTTAAATGGCCTTGCATGTGTGTTCCAAGGTAAGATCTTGTGGTGCATGTGACTGAAATGGGTAAAGATTGTTGTTTGAAGGTGGACATGGATATTGCATGTTGTTGGGTATGAGTTTTGTTGGGTTAAGTTCGATGGTTTTCCCAATCAGAGCTAATTTTTACTCTTGTTCTGGAAAACCCAGATTCTGGTCTCTAGTACCACTTCATTTTATTATTTTTGTGGAGAATTTTGTGGTCAGAATTTCCAAACACGTCCTCAATAAAAGTTGTTCCAAACATCTTTAAGTTTCACATACCTTAATTTCATAATTTTTGGACTTGATTTGGGTTGGACGATCACCTCATTTTGGGACTGTGTAAAACTGCCCAGAATAGGTATTTCGGTGAGGTCTACATTTTCTTGATTTTCTATAATATTTTATGGGCCGATTTTGAACAAACTTCCCCCAAAAAAGTTATTGCGAACTTCTTCCTCTACAACATATATAAATTTTAGGATTTTTGGAAATGTTTTGGGTATGGTAAGGAACTGATTTTGTGGAACAAAGGTTCTGTTCCAGTGAGCAATTTTCAGTCTGATTTTGAGCTAATAAACGAGATGCTTAAAAAAATATTTGGACTTTTATTTCTTCATGAAAAATGTTCATTCAGATGTATTTTATAACATATCCGAAAATTGTAATTTTTGGAGTCCATTTGATATTTATTTTAATAGAAATTCCGTTACTGTGCAAAACTGCCCAGATTTGTCCAATTTAAAATATGTACCATTTCTCACGTGAAAACTTGAGAATTTAGACTTGATGTCTTTTGGTGAATTATTGTACACACTTTGAGATTTCAAATGAGATATGTTAGACTGTGACAGGAGGTCAATTGATGAGTGAAATGAGGTTCTATTTGAGGTGGCAGAAGCTGGAATGTGTTGTGAAAGTGATTGTGCATAGGAAAATGTGATGCTATGGTTGTGACTTCTTGTTGTGCACTCATGAGTGATCATATTTGCCTGTTGTCACATACTGGTTATGCTTGGGCAATGTTTATTTGATCCCCGACAGAGGGTTGTCGTCAGGAGGAGAATGCCTTGGTTTATTGAGAAATCAAGATGACTCGGAGAGTGGGATGCCCCTGTGTGGGAAGCCTGCAAGATTCAAGTCTTGGAGGATCCCTGCAAGATTCAACTCTTGAAGGATCCCTGACGGAGGGTTATTGTTGTCGAGAGGAGAATGTCTTGGTTTATTGAGAAATCAAGATGCCTCAGAGAGAGTGGGATGCCTATGGTCACCGTGCCATGAAAGTCCAGTTTGTATTCCGGAAGTGACCCACACGGGCCGGCTTGCCACCGGTTGTACCATGAGATGGGGGTGGATCCAATAATACGTACATGAAATGCAATATGATGTGTGTGCCATCTGTAATGCATGAATTGCTTGGTTCATATGATTTTCAAAGGAAATGCTAGTTTAGCTTGATGGTTTGAGATGCAATTCATGTAGGTATATCCGAGGAATCAAGAGCATGTCAGATAGATAGTTTTATGAACTTGTTTTCATCTCTTGTTGAGCTATTGCTCACTCCCGTTGATACATTTTTTTAGATCCTTAACTATGCCTTAAGTCTTCGCATCACCTATCTCCCGCTATGGGGTGCCTGTACGTCTTGAGGGTGACTTGAATGAGTTCACCGACCCGTCTTTTCCATAAGTTATTTTTGTGCGTTACACGGCCACTCTGTGGTTGGACCTAGGTTCCCCAAGGGGCAAAGTACCATACCATTTTGTTTCAGTCTTCATGTTGGTAGATGGACATTTGGAGGGGCGGATCCCTTACAATGACAGTGGTAGTAGTGATGACGGTTGTAATGGCGAGGAGTAGTCAATGGGAGTGGGTGTAATAGGAGCAAGGGAGACAACTTTTGGGATACCACGATAGAGACTTTTTGGCGTGATCTGATCGATCGAATGATGATAACGAGCAATAGCTGAGGGGGCTTTGTCTAGTGGTGGCTAGAAAGTATGTAACTTTTTTATTCATCCCAGTTAGTTTTCTGATGTATATAGTGATATCACTCGATGTTATGTAATAAGTCAAATGAAATGAATTGATGATGTTTCCCTTGTATTCTAAAAGAATGTGTTTTTCATGTTATAAATGTTGAATTTAAATGTTATCTTTCGCATGCGTAATAATAATATAATAAAATTAAAGAACACCTTAATATGTGACGCTCTGGGACGTCACACTTACTTTGGTTACTATCCCTAAAAAGGAAAAGACCCTAAGCTTCACTAATTGTCTACTCGCATACTCTCTCTCTCTCTCTCTAAACTTTTCTATGCCAATAATAAGTCGTATTTGGAGCGCTCACCATTCAACTCAAATATTGGGGACCGATTCTGATAAGATAAGTTTTAAATTTCAGGTGAAACAGATCGTAAAATCGCTCACCTTTTGAATAGTGTCAACTTTTCAATTATTAAACCATATACTTATTGGTTCACTTTTTTATAAAAAAAGCAAATAAACTTTCTCATTCACTTCAAAGTTGAAACCATGACTCCACCCTCCAAAGGCCTCCTCTTCCTCTGTCTCCTCTTCTTCTCATCCATCATCACCCTCTCAACCAAGTCAACCCACCACCGCCACCACCGCCACCACCAGGCTCACCCGCTCGACCCCCTCACTCCCTCCGAGCTCGAGCTCGCCCGAGCCATAGCCTCCGACTCATTCCCCGGCTCGCCCCGCCGCAACCTCACCTTCCACTACGTCGGCCTCGACGAGCCCGACAAGCCCCTCCTCCTCTCATGGCTCTCCGCGCCCTCTCTCTCCCGTCCTCTCCCTCGCAGGGCCCTCGTCATCGCGCGGGCCGACAAGCGAACCCACGAGCTCACCATCGACCTCTCGGCCCGTCGGGTCGACTCAGCCCGAGTGCACGCCGGCCATGGTTTCCCGATGCTCACGTTCAAGGAGCAGGCCGCCGCTAGCAGCCTTGCGCGGCGGTATCCACCGTTCCTGGAGTCAATGAGGAAGAGGGGGCTCAAGGCGGAGGAGGTCACGTGCGGGTGCTTCACGGTGGGCTGGTACGGGCAGGAGGCGAGGAAGGTCGGGCGGACGGTGAAGGTGATGTGTTACTATCTGGACGGGACGGTGAATTTGTACATGAGGCCGGTGGAGGGAGTGACGGTGACCGTTGATCTGGACGAGATGAGGATCGTGGGGTTCGTGGATAGAGTGACGGTCCCAGTGCCCAAGGCCGATGGGACGGACTACAGCGGATCGCAGAAGCGGGTCGGGCCGGCCCTGAAGCCGATCGGGGTGGTGCAGCCGGAGGGCCCGAGTTTCACGGTGGACGGGCATATGATCAGGTCCAAGGCAAAGTCATCACTCTCTCTCTCTTTCCGTGATCATCAAAACGTGATTATAGAGTGGCATGAACTCTTTTTCATGTATACACTATAAAGTATTCGTGACATTAATTTTGCAGGGCATTAGTGATTTTCTCGACATAGGTTAATAACTTGATGATAGCAACTTTCGATCTTGGTATTGGGTTTTGTGAACAGCAGTGTCCTTAGAGTACTCGTTGACAACAGAGTCATAAGCGTTACTCTAACCTGTTCAAGTTGTTAAGAATGGTGTTCATATCTCCAATATGCTATTTTCATAATCTACCGGCTCAGATCATGCAGTCTTGTGACTTCTCTCAATGCATCAGGTGGGCTAACTGGGAATTCCACTTGAGTTTCGATGTGAGAGCGGGTCCAATCATCTCGCTGGCGTCGATTTATGATTCAGAGAAGCAGAAATTCCGGCGGGTGATGTACAGGGGATTCATTTCGGAGCTATTCGTGCCGTACATGGACCTCACGGAGGAATGGTACTACAGGACCTTCTTTGATGCGGGCGAATACGGGTTCGGGCTCTGTGCCATGCAGCTCGAGCCATTGCGGGATTGCCCCGAAAACGCCGTGTTCATGGATGCGTACATTGCTGGACAGGACGGGAAACCTATCAAGATGTCCAATGTTTTCTGCGTGTTTGAGCGGTATGCTGGAGATATCATGTGGCGTCACACCGAGCTCGGGATTCCTGGCAAAGTGGTGAGTCATTTTTTTTCTGGTTTCCCAGCAGTTCTTTTGTGTTTTCAGCCCCAAAATTTGAAGTGATGCTTTATTTGAAACAATTGACCCAGAGAGTGATTTTCTATTCGATTTCGATTCAGTTTCTCGGCTAAGTTGAAGACAGTTAGGTTTGGCATTTACAGAATTTGAATAGGCAATGAAGTGATCAGTCATTGCTTGGCCAAGACAGGACAAACTGGTCCGATGGAGCTATGCAGCTACACTAGTTATGCTATGATAGACGGTTTGCTTTATCTGAAGGCTGTGATTAGACTTGATGGTCCTGGTATGCTTTATATAATGCTCCAGAAGACCTGATTAATCTTGCTGCATTCGACTGCAAGATTGTTAACTTGGTGAAGAATGTAAATTCTGGTCTAAGGAAGTGAGCTCTAAATTTGAGCTCACTGCAATGATTTGGAGTCCTGTAGCCTTTGCAATATGATAGCTACCTTAGTTCATTCCTGGAATAAGTCTGCATAATGATCTTTCGCTATAAAATGGTGAAACGCCTATGGTTTTGTTCTCCGCTCCATGACCCCTTTTTCCAGAGCTTGAGAACATCATGACTTTCAAAGTCGATACGAACTATTTTACTTTGTGATACTCGGATGCGCGACTGCTTTCAGAGCATTTCAGTAAACCTGACATCTGATTGAACTGGTCTGGCAGATAAGAGAGGTGAGGCCAGAGGTAAATCTGGTGGTGAGGATGGTTTCGACGGTCGGCAATTACGATTACATTGTGGATTGGGAGTTCAAGCAGAGCGGATCCATCAAAGCCACAGTAAGTCTCCCAAGTCTTTTTTTCTCTTTTTTCAGTACCTTGATCTCCTTCTGCATGAGTTTTCATATAACCTGAAGCTGACATTTTTTGTTGCGCGAAGTGATTGGCCATTGATCAATTGAATTGATAATTAGTGTGAAGGCGCAAAAGAAGCGGTTATATTGCTTCAATTCACAGTAGTTTCATACTTGAACTGCAGGTAGGGTTAACCGGTCTACTGGAGGTGAGGGGTTCGAAGTACACTAACAATGACCAGATAATGGATGAAGAATACGGTGTACTATTAGCAGAAAACACCTTGGGCACGCGACATGACCATTTCCTCATCTTCCACCTCGATCTCGACATCGATGGTGATTCCAACTCCTTTGTCAAATCCGTCTTCAAACAGACCCCAGTGACAGATCGCCAATCTCCCAGGAAAAGCTATTGGAGTGTCGTTAGTGAAACAGCTAAGACGGAGTCCAATGCGAAGATCAAGCTTGGCTCGGAGCAGGCGGAGCTGTTGGTGGTGAACCCAGGCAAGAAGACTAATGTGGGGAATACGGTTGGTTACCGTCTAATCCCTGGATCAATAACCAGGCCCCTCCTATCAGACGATGATTATGCCCAGATTCGCGGAGCGTTTACCAATTACAACATGTGGGTCACGCCGTATAACAAGTCCGAGAAGTGGGCTGGTGGATTGTACACGGATCAGAGCCATGGCGACGACACATTAGACACATGGACCCAAAGGTACCTCTAGTTTCTCCACCGTAGCGATGCCTTGAACTTCTAGAAAAGCGGACATTTATCAATTGTTCGGTTACTGGACATTTCAAGCTGGTTTGATAATGCAGAAACAGGGGAATAGAGAACAAGGACATAGTGTTGTGGTATACCTTGGGGTTCCATCATGCGCCATACCAGGAAGATTTTCCGCTGATGCCGACATTGAGCAGCGGGTTTGAGCTCCGACCGGCCAATTTCTTCGAGAGCAACCCGGTACTCAGAGTTGTACCACCTAAAGTGGTTAAGTGGCCAAATTGTTCCATACCTGCCGTTATTTAGATTGAAAGATTGATGTTGAGGAACAGAGCATTACCTTTTCTCTTTTCTCCATATTCTCAAAACATTATTATTTCGAGAGAAGCAAAGACCACGTTTTAGATAGGAATGGAACATCTGGATTTGTTGTGGGTCTTTTACTTTTGCAAACGAGATGAACACTATGATCATTGAACAGATCACATTGGATTGTGTAGCCATTGGACATGGTCACCTGCTTCAACTTCAATAAGCTGTATCGAGCTTGTGAATTGCCTCTCAATCGATAGCCAAACATCAGAAAAACTCGATCCTTTATTGGGGATTGAATCATAGCAATTCATAGTTATAAATGAAGGGATTGCATAAGCAGTTGGTACCATCTGCGCTATTGCACGTTGCTTGAACCAACTAATCCAAGAGATTGCTTAATGTTGTAGACATTTTTTTATTTTTTTTTGGTAACCGAGGTGTCCGGGCCAGCTTGCGCGCACCTTCACTATTCCTCGGGGGAGACTAGCACAGCAACTCACCGCCATAGCCCCCCACTTAAATCACAAGTGCTCAGCTGGGGAATCGAACCCGGGGCAAGTGCGTTTAACTACACAATCCCAAGTACGCCCTAACTAACTGAGCTATCATGGATGGGTTGTAGACATTTTTTTGTAGAAGGAAAAACTGAAGAGCAGACTTTCAAATAGATCGTACATGTGCCAACATGCTACAATGACATTCTTCATCCAGGAGGATGAGCTAAAACATTGAATCTGAAAATCTTTAAAGACCCTCTGATAGGAGCACTCCAATTCCAGGAAAGATCATCTCTAGGGCTTGCAGCTCGGAATGACAGGTTTTGGGGATTTTGTTTTGAGCACCGGGTTTCTGTCAAAGAAGTTGCTTGGCCGGAGCTCGAAGCCGCCGCTCAGTGTCGGCATTATCGGGAAATCCTCTTGGTAAGGGACGTGATGAAAGCCTAACGTGTACCACAACACGATGTCCTCATTCTCAATTTTCCTGTTCCTGCATAATCAAACACCACTGCATGATTTCGGCTGTAACAGTACAAAGAAAAAACAGGATAAGTTACCTCTTGCTCCTACCGTGATTACGTGATTAGCAAAGGACTCAGATATACATCAATCAAAAGTTACCTCTTGGTCCAAACAGCTAAAGTATCATCCCCTCGGCTTTGATCGACGTATCGGCCTCCAGCCCATTTTTCGCTCTTGTTGTACGGAGTCACCCACAAGTTGTTGTTGGTGAAAGCGGCGCGGATCTGCGGGTAATCATCACGGAACAGAATGGGGCTGGCAATCGGCCCCGGGATGAGGCGGTACCCGACATTGTTCCCGACTTTGGTTTGCTTGTTGGGGTTGACCACAACGAGATCACATGGCTCCAATCCCAAGTGCAGCTGCGCCTCTGACTCAGTTCTCGCCGTCTTGCTCGACACAGTCCAGTAACTCTTCCTCGGCACGCTACTGTTGGCCACTGCTTTTGTGATCAAACTGGTCTTGATGAAGGAGTTTGGACCACCATCGACGTCGAGGTCGAGATGGTAGGTCAAGAAGTGGTCGTGGTGCGTAGCGATGGTGTTTTCTCCAACCATTGTGCCATATTCATCCTCTTTTATCTGACTTGCATGAGTGTAGTTCACTGCTTTGATTTCTAGTAGTCCAGTCAGTCCGACCTGTTGATTAATTTGGTATCAAGATCCGAAGTGACAAAGAAATTGCCGATTAATTTAGATGAAGCAAAATAGATGACAATTAGATATACATATGGAGTAGTGAAAATGATGCAAACAATGCTTGAAGTTTGGCCTAATATACAATATGGATCATGAACTTTTAATATGTTCATTGTCGTCTCTAAACTTTTGGTACATGTTCAATATAGTCCATGAGTTATATGAAAATGTTCAATGTAATCCTTCCATTAATTCAAGTTCATAGACTACATTGAATATTTTCATATAGTTCAGAGACTACATCGAATATGTATGAAAAGTTCAGGGACCACATTGAACATTAGGCTAAAGTTCAAGGACTACGTTGAATAAATTAAAAATTATATTGCGCATTGAGCCAAAGTTCATAGATTGTTTGCGTCATTATCCCTATGGAGTAATATAACTCAATAAAAATTCTAAATTGCGAAAATTGGCACGAGATACTGAAGCAATATGTCCTTAGAAAAAAAGAATGATTACGGATGTACATTGCAACATTAAACATGAAATTTAATTGTGCATTCGTCTAACATCTACCTTGAGTTGACATCGTTCAAATAAAGTTTTACATTGCTTATTACGGATGTATGTTGGAACATTAAACATGAAATTTAATTGTGCATTCATCTAACATCTACCTTGAGTTGGAATCGTTCAAATAAAGTTTTACATTGAATTATAGCATAAGTCCAAGCATGTACTTAAGATTTTTTTGCTAATCCCTGTTTGCCTTCCCAATCATCAATTTCCACGTTTTAAGTGGACGGCAGATTCCAGTCCGTGCACGACAAAAAGAGAGAAAAAAGTGGCCATGGATTGACACCCCATTACCACATGTAGAAATATCTTTGCTGAAAAGGGTAATGACAGGACGTTAAATTCAAAGATTAGAAATGTCTATGTTGATATGGACCATCATAAGGAAAGATTTCTACGTAATTAGTAGGTCAAGGACACATCGTAGATTTAAATTCAAAGACACCCCCGATGCAGCTTGAACTTTCCATTAATTAGGACATTGTTCAAATATCCCTATGGAGTAATATAACTCAATAAAAATTTTAAATTGCAAAAATTGGCACGAGATACTGAAGCGGTACGTCCCCAAAAAAAATAACGATTACAGATGTATGTTGCAATATTAAACATGAAATTTAATTGTGCATTCATCTAACATCTACCTTGAGTTGATATTGTTCAAATAAAGTTTTACATAGTATTATAGCATAAGTCCATGCCTGTACTTAGATTTTTTTGCTAATCCCTGTTTGCCTTCTCAATCATCAATTTCCACGATTTAAGTGGACGACAGATTCCACTCCACGCGCGACAAAAAGAGAGAAAAATGTGGCCATGCATTTACACCCCATTACCAAACGTAGAAATATCTTTGTTGAAAAGCCTAGTGACAGGACGTTAAATTCAAAGATTAAAAATGTCTATGTTGATATGGACCAACATAAGGAAATATTTCTATTTACTTAGGTCAAGGACATATCGTAGATTCAAATTCAAAGACACCCCCGATGCAGCTTGAACTTTCCATTAATTAGGACGTTAAATTCGATCAGTGTATGCTCTTTGATCTGAGAATTTGAAGATATAACAACAGACCTCGAATTTGATGGCTCCACTTGGCTTGAACTCCCAATCAAGAATGTAATCGTAGTTGCCAACCGTCGACACCGACCTCACCACCAGGCTCACGTCGGATCTGACCTCTCTTATCTAGAAAAATCATCCAACGTTAGACATGCCAAAGTTTTCCTTCAACCCTAGAGATTGAAAGCACCAATAACCTAAGATTGCGGAATATTCACAATGAGACTCTGCTTACAGTCTCATCCGGAATTCCAGTCTCAGTGTGACGCCACATGATGTTTCCTGCATACTTTTCAAACACGCAAGTCACGTTCGATATCTTTACAGGGGTACCATCTTGGCCCGCATAGAATCCGTCCATGAATACCGCGTTATCGGGGCAGTCTGCCCCCGGCTGGAGTGACACCGCGGACAGTCCGAACCCAAACTCTCCGCAGTCGAAATAGGTCTTGTAGTACCACTCTTCGGTTGGGTCCATATAGGGCACGAAGACCTCGGACACGTAGGCTCTATATAGTACTTGTCGATGTTTACCCTTCTCCAGATCGTAGATCGATGCTAGCGAGATGATCGGACCGACTCGGACGTCAAACCCTAGATGGAACTTCCAATTGGCCCAGCTGCGTCACAACAATAATTTGATTAAATTGCGACAAAGGCCTGTATGTGTATTTGTCTCCATTAGATTTCATGGTAAATTCCTATAAATGTGTTCTGATAAGGATATGCTAATAGAGGCTCATCATTATTTCGTCGACTCAAACGAACATTCCCAATTTCCCACAGATGAAATATGGTTCGGTGCATATAGATGTGCATAAGTTGATCTAATGCTATGATGTCTGTCTAAGCTGACATGAAATATGGTCGAAACCGTTTGTGATAATACTACATGAACAAGATGCTACCGAGGATAGATCTTAAGCAGCTGCGCATTTCGGGGGTGCCAAATCAAATTAAGACAAGACATTCCACAACGGGTGGAGGACCTTATTAGGGCCACTTCTCATGTCCAAGCTCGTGTGTTTAATATCAGTTAAGTGGTCCAAAATGGCAACATGGATTCGATTGCCTTGTTGCTATCAAGTTTGATCTTTCTTTTGGGCAAACCTTAGCAAAAGAAAGAGAACTCTTTCGGTCAAAGCTAGCGATGATGGTTTTTGGTACGTTCATTGACAAACAGGCATGATGGTACTAATTCAACTGTGTCCTATCAAGGTTCCTTTGGACTGGTTTTGTGGCTGAAATAAATCAAGTACGACGTTAATTTGACTTTCGTGTCTCCGTCTCAATTCCAACCTCTTACGGTGTTTTAATTGAAAGTTCAAATTTATTTGTTTGGTGAGACTCAAATAAGGGTTTAATAAAGGTTAAAGCAAAACAACTTAGCATTTTGACAAGTACCTGATGGTATGTCCCTTGATCTCGAAGCCCGGTCCATGAGGTTGCACGATGGCCGCGCCCTTCAGATGCGGCCCGAAGGGAGGCTTTTGCTTCTCAAGACGGTACTCGGTGTCCTCCGCTGTCGGCATGGTCGTCGTGAACCGGTCGTGATACTTCACTATCTTCATCAAATCCAGATCGACCACCATGACTATGCCTTCGATGGGTCTCATGTAGAAGTTGACCGTGCCATTTGTGTAGTAAGCAAGGACCTTCACGACCCTCCTGCTACTCTGCTCTCCGTACCAACCGACCGAGTAACATGAGCACACAATGCTGGACATGTCGAGGCCTCTCTTCTCGATGGATCGTATGAATTGGTCATGGGTCCGAGGCAGATCGGTCGCAGCTGTTTGCTCCTCTAGCGTGAGCATAGGGAAGCCGTGTCCATGGTACACCTGTTTGAAAGCATATTGCGTTTGTCACGACTCAAGAAAAAGAAGGATAAAAATTTGATGGATCCATCTAAACTCATGTATACAGCCACTAAGTGATTGGTTTTATCAAGTAGAATGAGTCTAGAGAACTGATTTGGAGCAGGAAAATTAAGGAGTAAGGAATAAGAAGAAATAGATTACAGCTAGCAATGTGAATGCATGTGTCGATAATGAAAAAAAGACAAAAAAGAAAATGAGCCACGAATATTATTTAGATGCCGTTAGCAAATCCATTTACCTAAAGGATTGACCACATATTAACATAAAGTCCCATTCTAATAGATCAAGTTGATCACATGGGCTCACATTGGACCACGTACTTCAAAAAGAATTTGGAGCCTTACTTTTCAAGACTGTTGATTGTTTTGCTCATCACATGCCAAGATCAAGGGTCCTATGGATGCAATACCATTTTTCCAAAGTAAAACAGTTGGGGGCTAACGAATCTCAATCATGAAGTTGATAAATGAATTAAACGTGAGTGAGGCCAAGATTGATTTTCCAACAAAACCTCCTTCGAGACGATTGATGGTCGATGGTTCGATAAGTCCACAGTGAGCTCATGAGTTTGCCCGTGGAACCGCAAGACCACGGCGGCTCGGCGGCGAGGGGGTATCTTATCGGCTTGGTTCGACATCCATGAGTAAATGAGCGGTTTATCTGGCTCGTCGAGACCCACGTATTGGAACGTTACGTTTTCAATCGATGCCCCATACGATCTCATCACCGCACGTCGAATCAGAGAGAATTCCGCAGGCGTCAACGGATCAAGCGGGTGCTCATGCTGAGATGAGGCTGGCGAGACGAAGGAGGGGGAGAGGGGGATGGAGAGGAGGAAGAGCAAGACTCTGCCAGCGGAAGCCATTATTGTATGTGAAAGTCCTCGGGAGGCATCAACATCCTTAAATAAGCACACTTCTTGACGGATTTCAAAACGAGGAACTTCAAGTATCACGGGTAAGATCGGTTTCACGATTTGAAAAGCACGTGTCAGGCTCTCAATGGTCCTGTTTAGTACGTAGATTTGACTTATCCTTGCTGGTCCTGTTTTGATACTTGCATATGGGTTGTGTACATATGTTTGCACAAACGAATCGCGATAACAAAAGCGATATGTATACATGTGTGTAGTGGCTAATTTGCACGGTCCGAACTTGCTGAGCAAAACCCTAATCTCCCCCGTCCCCTCTTCTCTCTCTCTCTCTCTCTTCCCCCCACGAGCTCAGCCTCCATGCACGCCACTGCACGCATTGAAGCCACCACCGGCCATTGCACAGCATATAGAGTCACGTCGGATCACAGCGGCAACGACGAATGGGGTTTCACTGGAGAGGTTTACGGCTACGTCGGCTAGGGCAAGGGGAAAAGAAGAAATTCTCGAGCGAAAAAGGGAAAAAAAAACTAGAAAAACGAAAGATGGAATGAAAAAGAAAATGATATGGAAACACAGCTATTGACTAAATATGTTGATGTTCCTCTTCGAAATGGACATGCTTGAATTAAATGCGCATAGTAGAAGTTTAATGTGTTCTCGTATCGTGTCAGAAATTTCTAAAACAAAAAATAGCTTTTGAAAATGTTAAATATATGAAGGATGAAAATAACACATAAAAATTGTTTACACCGATCATTGTATTAAAAAGTTTGTAGATTGGCTTTAAGGAAAAAATGAATAAAAGAATCTTCAAGAGATATTTGTATCAAAAGAAAAGGTTTATAGCACCAATGTGCTATATACCAATAATAGGAAAGCGAACTCTTCTTATTACATAACCCACATTCATGATCATTGATTTGAAAAATTGGTCTAACTTTTTAAATCCAAACTACCCAGTCCATGGTAACGAATGCGAGTCTTGTAAAAAACAAAAAAGAGTATACGAGTCGGGTGCCATATAAAAATACGTTCGTAGATGCTCTTGATTTCACATGTAGTTTTCACATGATACTAAACAATAACTTCACTAATCAAAGTGAAATAGTACTACCAAATTCTCTCCTCCGATATTATTTTTCTCAAACTTCATCACTTATTTGTACAACCTCGTATACATACATAGGCCACATCATATTGCGGGTCTAAATGGCCAAGAAAATGTTGTTGCGGGTCGGAGGAGTCTCTATTGGGCTTAAGGCAACAAAGCTAATTAATTGGAGGTCTCCAAAGCTGGATTCCTCTCGAAGAAATTGGTGGGTCGGATCTCGAACCCGAGGCTCAGCACGGGCATTATCGGGAAGTCCTCTTGGCACGGGACGTGGTGATACCCCATCGTATACCACAGCACTATGTCCTCGTTCTCAATCTTCCTGTTCCTGCAAAACCCAACAAAAAACGAAGAAGAGAAGAGTTGGAATCAATCAAGCTTTTTCCTTGTCATGAGATTGAATCGAGCTTGATCAAGTGTTGAACGAATCCTTGGCTTATTATCAGCCCATTGTGTCGATTTTGTAGAGTGTTTATCCTTAACACATGTAGAGATTCAAATTAGGTCATTCGTTATGCGCGTGCAATCGATGGTGTCAATGAAAGATCAACCTGCGGCTCCATACAGCCAATGTATCATCCCCTCGGCTCTGATCAGAGTACGGCCCGCCCGCCCATTTCTCCGATCTGTTCTAAGGGGTCACCCACAGATAATAGTCGGTGAAGGTGGCTGGTATTTACAGGTGCTCGTCATCCATCAGGAGCGGTCCAGCCGTGTACCACGAAACCAGCCGGTACGACACGGGGTTCCCGATTTTGGTCTTCTTCACCGGGTTCTCCACCAGCAGCTCCGAGGGGGCCAACCCCAGATGGATCCTGGCATCCGATTCGGTCTTGGCCGTCTCCTTCTCGACGGTCCAATAACTCTTCCTCGGCGAGGTGTTCTCGGCAGTCCTCTTCGTAACTAGATTGGCTTTGACGAAGGAATTGGCTTGGCCATCCACATCTAGGTCGAGATAGTAGGTCAAGAAGTGATCATGTAAGACCCCGATTGTGTTTTGTGCCAGCAGTGTGCCATGAGGATCTTCTCTTATCTGATCGGTTGTGTCGTATTCCACAGCTTTGACCTGCACTATTCCAGCAAGGGTAACCTGCATGGGGAGACAAAGCGGTGGACTCTTTGAGTTTGGTCCTGTATTTCAGTTCATTTAGCATATGAGGTGAGCAAACGACTCATTTGAAGATTGATATTGTGAATTGTTTAATAATAGCAAGAAAAAAAATGGGGTAAATTTCATTAGTGGGTACTAAACTTCAGCGAAATTTGTAATAGGCCACTGAACTTTGATTTCAATCGGCCAACACCATAAACTTCCGAATCTTTTTAATTTTAATCAGTCGGGTCAATGAATTGCTAGCACGGCATCCACGTGGCAATGTGATGGCATATGGAAAATTGGTCATGTGTTCAATCCACTAGTGGTTCACATGAAAATTAATTGGATTCCGGTCAAAGTACATCAATTGCAAAAAACTAAAAGTTAGGGATATTCGATGAGTTAGCTCAAAATTCAGTTATCTAATTGCAAATTCTACTAGCTAAAATGCACTCACTCCACTTGAAATTTACCTAACGAGAAATGCCTGCGTGATATTCACGCGTAATGCGCAATCAATAGGTAATTGGCCACAAAAAAGGATGGAGTTGGTATGCTAGATTTTGTATACTTTTATTGACAATTTTCTTGTGCTTTATAACCAAAATTTAAAAAAAAAACCATTAAAAACACCTAATTACTTTTTCCCATATACTTATCATGAGAAAATTTACCTTGACATTGATGGATCCGGTGGGCTTGAATTCCCAATCTAGTATATGATCATAGTTACCCACGGTCGACACCATCCTCACCACCAAGCTCACTTCTGGCATTACTTCCCTTACCTGCAAATCGAACCGCACATATCAATCATCACTACAATGATATTATTTGCTAAGGACACTAAAATATCTTACCAAAAGCTGGATTTGATTGTTAGATAATCTGCAAATGTCAGTCCAAGATAAACCGGTCTGTCTCATTTAATTCACTTACAATTACATGTCACATTATTCATAAGAACAAAATTTGACGCCCCTCTTTGTAAAAGTAGGACTACTTCTGTTCAATTCCTTTGTGCCCCACAAGTTATGTAGAAGCACCGTTATGGGTGCATGTGAGAATGGCTTTCCCAAGCCACTTTAGGCATCCGAAGCTCCTTGGGCTAAAATTGGGTGTTTGGGAACAATTTTTAGAAACCCCATTCAGCAAAAGTCGGCCTTGTGTAGGTTGAAAGCCCAAAGCAGGTCCTAGGTTGCCTTGGGCTTTTAGCTTTCTCGGCATGCAACACTCCCGAATAAGTAAAAAACATTTCTTCCAAAACTACCCTCACTTATTTTTTTAATTTTTCAGTTTTGCCCTCGTTTATCACTGTTCATTGTCTTCTCTGCTTAGCTCGACGGTGTGGCTATGAGGGGACGGTGACAAGCTGAAGAGGGGCCGGCGTGGTCACGCAACCCAGTGACCGTCGCCTAGGGTCGCACGACCGCTGCGACGGGCCACGCTAGACGGCCCTTGCCAGGAACTTGCACGACCTCAGAGAGGCGCCGTGTGATTCAAGCGAGGACGTTGAGGTCATGCTACCCAAACGACCCTCGAGGGCCGCCGGCGACCCAGATCTAGCGCCGTGCGATTGTTGTCTGAGGCCAAATGACCTCAAGCAGCCCCGGCGACCACCGATGAGGGCCACCTTGCATGGGTTTCACGACCCCCACGAAACCCAGGCGAGGCGGCCCTCGTCGGTGGTCGCCGGGGCTGCCTGAGGTCATTTGGCGTCAGACGACGGCCGCACAGTGCCAAATCAGGGTCGCTGGCGGCCCTCGCCTGGGTTTTGCGACCCTCGTCGGTGGTCGCCGAAGGCTGCCTGAGGTCGTTCGACCTCAGACGACGGCCACCGACGCCAAATCTGGGTTGCCGGCGGCCGCCTGCCCTTTGCCGGCTAAATAAAAAAAGTGCCTTGCAAGAATAATTTTTTTTCCAAACGCTATTTTATCCAGAGTTGCTTTGCAATGGACTTTTAAGTTAGAACTTACCATACACAATTTACATTTTGGAAAACTCCTTCAACTTAAAGTCATTTGCATTTTTCCAAAGACTTTTCCCCAAAGTGTTCCCAAACGCAGCCTATGAGAACTTACGGTTTGGTCCAGAGTTGCTTCTTCACTGTGGCGCCACATCAGATCACCCGAACGCCTTTCGAAAACGCACAAGATATTGGGTACTTTCACGGGCATGCCGCCGGAACTCGCGTAGTAACCGTCAAAGAAGGCCGCATCGGTCGGGCAATCGGCGGACGGCACCAGCAGCACCGCCTGCTGGCCCATGCAGTAGTCGCCAGCATCGAAGGTGTTGCGGTCGTACCACTCCTCGCTTAGGTCCATGTACGGTACAAATACCTTGGAAATGAATCCTCTGTATAGTACCCGGCGATGTTTCCGCACCTCTTGATCGAAGATCAACACGAGAGAGATTACCGGTCCCGCTCAGACATCGAATCCGACATGAAAGATCCAGTTTTTCCAACTAATCGCGAATGCAAACCAAAATCGAAGACAAAATCAGATGGTGATTTCGTTTCGACTCTTTTTTTGGTTAGAACACACAAGAGATACTCAGAAACAACGCTAAACTCGTTTAAGCCTATGTGGTATATAAATACCGGAAAACAAGCAATGTAAACGTAGCCCGCAAATTGGCATGTTCATAATCCTCAATGTGCAATGAATCACTAACCTGACCGTATTGCCATTGATCTCGAATGAACGGACCATCTCCGGCTGCTCGACGGCCACGCCATTCAGCTTCATCCCATTCCGTGACCGGTAATCCGTCCCCTCGGCTTTTGGGATCGGAACGACCAA